AGCTTAGGGACAAGAATATCCTTCAGGATAATGACAGCATAGACCATACACGCATGGTCACACAGCCTTGGGTGGAGAGACTAAGGGTTTCCAGGAGAGAATGAAGGTGGAGTGAGGCACAGGCCAAGCATGAAGGCTCTGCAGGGACCATGTGTGGGGATCTTGTGCAGTCATGGCTAAGGGTGAGGACCCTGATATCTCGGATTCAAATTGTGGCTTCACTACATAGTAACAGTGTGTCTGTGACCTTGGTTAAGGTACTTGAGATGCCTGGCCCAGTATTCTCAACTTACAAATGAGGCTAACACTCATGATGGCTATTCCACTGGGATGTGGTGAGGATTCGTGGAGAGTGCCACAGTGTATTGGCACAGTGTTGGCACTGGTGATTGTTGCTCAATGGATACCCTGCTGAGGCTGGAGTGGGGGGGCATGCACACTCATCCCAGCTCCTATGTTCCCATCCACAGGCTCCTCTACCCATTTGTGGGGAAATAGGTGCTTTCATGCTAAAGATATCTAAAACCCAACTCTTATGAGCTGGTCACATGGACCACTTTGAACAACAGCACTGGGGTGGGTTTGTGTCCCCCCGCCCACGTTACTTTAGGAGATGTTTTAAATATTCCCTATTCTCCTCAGCTCACATCTTCCCCTGATGCCAACTTTTTTTGAGTGCTGACCCTTTGAGAGATGGATGACTGCTAGGATCTTTTTGCCCAAATGGTGTGTATCCACACCTGCTGCATTCTGCACTTTACTTCAGGGGCTCCATGAACAGCAGAATTTGAACCCTGTTCTAGCTGTTCAGAGACTGTGAGACATGTCTCAGCTACCTGCTTCCTCCCTTGGAAGTCACTCCTGTAAATCACCAAGGGGCAGAGGAACCTGCTTTTCTAATCACACTGAGAAAATTGCTGTTCAGAACAACGTCTTGGGTGTCAGTATTCCTATGAGAGTCACAGCCCTAACAGGGCCATGGGATGGAACAGGAGCCCCAGGAAACAACAATGACATCAATAATTCTTTACATGCATTATCTTATTTAATTCTTCAAAGACCTTCAGGATGGTGATACTATACATCTTGCAGATGAGGAATTGAGGCACGCAGAGATTAAGTAACTTGCCCAAAGTCAGACAGCCCCAGAACCTCACTATCAACCAATAAATTTTTGGCCACCTAGTGACATCTCGGTTACAATACTCCTATCTCCTATTAGGGTGAGCATTCAGAACGAATACTCTTCAAACTGAACCTATGTAAAATCAATGCTTAAAAGATGGAGAGAGGTCCCAGGCAGGCCTGGACCTGTATGAATTAGGACGGAAACTATTTCCTTGAACCCCAGCTAAGCGGTCATGGGCATCTTTGAGACAATGATTGGACCACTGTAAAGAATTGTGGGACCCTACTCCTTGCTCAACCCACAGCTCTGCAGAAGGTGGGTAGCGGAACCTGGGAAGGGATATTATAAGCTCCCCATGATGTTCTGGCTCCTGGGGCGGGCGGGGGGACGACATGCACCCCCAGAGGCTGACCTGTGACAAGTGGCCTATAGACACACCAGGAGAGGAGTGAAGGATGGACAGCTTGCCCTGTGGGAAGAAGGTGTGAGAGAGAACTGGAGGCGCAGGGCCACCTGCAGGAGGACTGAGCAACCTTCCAGGGAGGCAGGAGGAGGGAGGAATGCTGGCTCAGGCAGGGAGGAAAGGCGGGAGCAGAGGGAGCCTGAGGATCGGTTCAGGCAGTGAGAGGGCAGCCCCACTGTATTTCCCAGGCTGCTCTCTGGGATGCGGGCAGGAAGGTTGAGTGTATTACACTGGCCCCACCTCCCGAGGCTCTCTCTGCAGCTGCTGGACTGGACACAAAAGCGTGAGAGACAGAGACACCATCTCTGCTAATTTGTACCAAACTCTGGCTCCTGTTGCTGAGAGACCACATGTGACAAAAGCCAGGGCAGGGGGCCCCCACGTCGCTGTCTGCATTTTCCAGGTAAGCAACTGTTTGTGTCCCAGCCAGAAGTGAAGAGCAAGGCTTGAAGGCAGTGGGCAGAGGAGAATGTGGGAGGTGGCTGCCTGGGATGGACTTAGCGCAGTCGGGAAGGGGCGAAGGGAGAGGGGCCGGGGCCAGGAACTAGAACAAGCCTGGGGCAGGCTTCTGCACAGTGTCCACGTATGAGGTCGGGGAGCTGGAGGCTGTACCAGAGTCACTGCTGGCTGGAGGGTGTGGGCGAAATTCCAGGAAAGGGCTGTGTTCTGACAGCCTCAGGGGGCCAGCACATCTGGAGAGCAGAGGGGCCAGCTACACCATAGCATCACTGTTCCTCTTCCTGACCAGGTATATTTATGCAGACTTTGCCAGAAAAATCCCACTCTGGGCCCCTGCCCTCCTCCTAGTTTTCTGGATGGTGGAGAGAGAGAGCCTTGGGCAACTACAGAAGGGAGAAAGCCGGATGTATGTCTTTGCTGGGGCCATGGCTTCAGTCAGAGGAGGGAACCCTGATCGGAAAAAGGCCATCTCCTGTCAGCCTCCTGAGAAGGAGTTAGTTGGTTGAAGGCTGTGTGCTGTCCTGAGGAGGCTCCTTGGTGGAACAGAGGCAGGGAGTCAGTCACAGGCTGTGGAGAACAGGGTATGTGTGTGCTGGGTATGGGGTGGGGAAGGAGTGACGCAAGAGTCTGTGGAACAGTGCCACAGGAACACGCATGGTGTGTCGCAGAAAGAGGAAGAGACTTCAGAAATCTATTTGCATACAAGTCCCTTTGCTGTACCTGCTGGGGACCACAGCTCCTAATCAAGCATGCTAGTCTGTAAGTCATATAAAGTTGACTGGTCTTGTGTCCCCTCTATGAATAACACACATGCATGTACGTACCTCTCCTCTCTAAGATTTGCTATGATACAAATATGACAAACTTGGTTTCCTGTCAAAAGAGTGCCAGTTACACCCTGACAGCTTATGGGGATAGAGCCTCAAGGTAAGAGGAGTGACGCAGGGCACAGGGGACAAAAGGACGTGAGACCCCGAATCCAGTCGTGACTGCAGTGTGTCTTCCTTTTTTTCTACTCTGGCTTCTGTACCCAGAGTAGAAAGTGAGGATTCCCCCTGTCTGCTCCCCACTCCACAAGCAGAAACTGTGTGGTGAGCAAACAGGAAGGGGGGAAGACACTTTGATGAGACGGGGACACCTAATAGGACGCGCCAATGAGAGAGCAGGGGAAGGTGGTGGAGGCAGAGAAAGAGCTTGCAGAAGGTAAATACTCGGTGACTAACACTCCTGACCACCCCAGGCAGCAGTCTCTGCAGCATGTGTCCTGGCTCTGACAGTCGGCCCTGGGCTCTCTCTCCGGCGAAGGGCAATCTGGGTCAATGAGAACAGGGAGGAACCCAGCAGTGAGGCCTTGCAGCCAGCATCCCTTGGCCCAGAAACACAAGGGGCTTTGATGCCTGCAGAGTGCAGTGCTCTTCCCCCCAGGATGCTGTGGCCACTCTTGGCAGGGCCCAACCCCAGGGCAGGCTCAGTCTGGAGGCCACAGCTGGGAGGTGGTATGGCTCCACAGGTCTTAACATAACGGTCTTGGAATTAGAAAGAAATTAGAGGGCTGCTGTCTGTGAGCTGTGTGGCCTTGAGCAGGCAAGCCTCAGTGTCCTTTCCTATAAAATGGAAAGAATAATGTAATAATGATAGCCTCAATCTTAAAGGTTTCTGGAAGTCCTAAATGAAGGCATGTTTGCAAAGTGCTCAACATAGTTCCTGGCTCCTAATGTGTTCCCAGAAAAATGGGAACTGTTAATATTAACGCTTCTGGGATTCTCAGAAGGTTCCCTCCAGACCAGTGCAAACTCAGCCCTCTGTCAGCAACTGACCTCCCTGAGAGGCCCTCAGAAGCTGGCCTCTCAGGCCAGCAATTCCTGTTAAATGTGTCACTCACAAAAGCAATGCTTATTAACCAACCCTTGGCAGGCTTTCCCTGTGTCTTCAAGCTAAAATAAAATCAATTTGAAAATAAAACCCAGATGGCTCCTGTGTCTGGTACCTCGCTGTCAAAGCCTTTATGCTGGGCTGCTCAAGTTGGGGAACATGCACTCCTGTGCTATGTGGGGGTATGCCAGGAGTACATGATGTGTGGGTACATGGGGCACACTTGGAGGGAAGGTTAAGCATTTCAACTGAAGGTAACTTAGATGTTTATTACATGGCACTGAGCATAAATTCTCATGGATGTTTAAGACAAAGCATTATTTCTGATAGTTCACGTTGTCTGTGGGTGTTTATGTTCACTCTCCCTGGCTGTCAGAGGCTCTTCATTGCAGACCTGAGAAGCCTTGCTCAAGCAGTGAGGGGCAGCTGGTATCTTTTGGGGAACCCACCTGGTTTCCTCTTGACTTGACTCCATACTCCTAGGGGCTACTCCTTGTCTTCAGAGGAGATGACCTACACGGCTCAGTGCCTGGAAGGTGGCCCTAGCTGGCACCTTCACCAGACAGCACCTTTGCACTCCTATCAGGGACAGCTTGGTGTTCAGGTTCCAGACAGGGGAACAATGTCAGAGTGTCTAAGGACGCCCAGAGCTTGAGTCCTGCCTTCTCATCTAGCCTTCATCATGCCCACAGAGGACCTGTGTGACCTGTGAGGTGTGAGCACCCTGGACTGAGCAGGACACAGCTGGCACCCAGCAAAAGTCCCCCTGCCCCTGACCATTCTTGACAGCATGGCTGTCTTGGGCTTCTAGAAAGTGGGATTTCCAAAGGGAACAAGGATGACTGAGGCATTTTCAGCATGGCCCAGCTCCTCCTGCCCTTGGGGAGGCTCAGCAACACGCCTGTCAGGTTATCAGTTGGAAACAGAGCTATAGTGAGAACCTCAGTCCCTCTGGTTATGAAAGTCTAAGTACACTCTTTGTGATTTCCTCTTCACACCTCCCTTTTTGCAGGTATCCTGAGCCAAGCAAAGGTTCTTCCCTGGAAGAGCAGACAACAGAAGCTCCTGCTGCACAACATGGCAGAAGGGGACTCCCAGGACAGGTGGGGCAAGGGGTCCCTTGGCAGCTTGACTCATGACAACCAGATGTTGAGCATGAACTTAAAGAGTGAAGATGAGGATGGTGGGGAGGCAGGAGATACAGGGGACCCTGGTGAGCAGGCTCCTCCAAGGGGCAGCTCCCCAGTAAATCACCATTATCCTGACTTGCAGTGGCAGAGTCCCTCGTTCAAGGAGGAAGAGAGCTTCTCTGATCCTGTTAGTGCTGGAGACATGGGGGAGAAACCTATAGAGATGCCTGGAAAGATCAGCTGGGAAAGAGAGGAGTCAAAGATCACCCTGACTCAGGAGTACCCTGAAGCAGGTGCAGCTTTGGGTGCCCTTCCTAGGGGCCTCTCACACAAGTTGGTCGGTCGTTTGCAATCTCCTAGAGACTCACTACCTGTGGGGGATGATGGAGGCTCCAAGGCAAACCAGGACACATCCTTGGATGTCCCATCCAGCTTCCTGGACAATGAAGAATATTTCTGTGCACAGAAAGATATAGACACATCTCCAGACAACTCTCCGGAGTGCTTTCCTGGAACAGATAGCATTTGGGATCTCCCTACACAAGAGACAAAGGCACAGGACCAGGGATCTACCAATCCAGCCTGTCTGGCAGCTGCAATGTTGGCAAAAGCGCCGAGCAGCAGAAAAGACCAGAACCCAGCTGCTGAGCCAGACCCCAGGCAGGCAGAGGGGCATCCCTACAAATGCCTGCGGGGCGGAGAGGCCTTCCAGAAGCCCCGCGAGCTGCCTGGAGCTGCAGGACGCGGCAGTGCCAAGCCCTACGCTTGTGAGCTGTGCGGAAAGGCCTACTCCCACCGGGGCACGCTCCAGCAGCACCGGCGCCTGCACACGGGCGAGCGACCTTACCGGTGCCCCTTCTGCGACAAGGCCTACACCTGGTCCTCGGACCACCGCAAGCACATCCGCACCCACACGGGCGAGAAGCCCTACCCATGCCAAGACTGCGGGAAGGCCTTCGTGCGCTCCTCGGACCTGCGCAAGCACCAGCGCAACATGCACAGCAACAACAAGCCCTTCCCGTGCTCCGAGTGCGGCCTGACCTTCAACAAGCCGCTATCATTGCTGCGCCACCAGCGCACGCACCTGGGCGCCAAGCCTTTCCGCTGCTCCGCCTGTGACCGGGAGTTCGCAGTGGCCAGCCGCATGGTGGAGCATCAGCGCGTGCACTCTGGCGAGCGGCCATTCCCTTGCCCCACCTGTGGCAAGTGCTTCACCAAATCCTCCAACCTGTACGAGCACCAGACACTGCACACAGGGCAGAGGCCCTTCAAGTGCGCTGACTGCGGCGTGGCCTTCGCACAGCCCTCGCGCCTCGTGCGCCACCAGCGAATCCACACCGGTGAGAGGCCCTTCCCTTGCACACAGTGTGGCCAGGCCTTTGCCCGCTCCTCCACCCTGAAGAGGCACCAACAGATTCACTCTGGAGAGAAGGGATTCCTGTGTGCCGAGTGTGGCAGGGCATTCCGCATTGCGTCGGAGCTGGCTCAGCACATCCGGATGCACAACGGGGAGAGGCCCTACCAGTGTGAGGACTGTGGTCAGGCCTTCACCCGTTCCAACCACCTCCAGCGACACCGAGCCAAGCATGACACCTGCAAAAAGGAGCCCATCCCTTCCTCCTCTGATGAGTGAGGGCGCAGTTGGCTAGTTCCCCGGGGAGGCAGACACTAGGAACCTCACTGCTTGGAACCCTCTCTCAGGGCCCCACAAGGTGTGACCAGCCAGCCTCACTGGTCAGCTGTCTCCCGGGGATTGCTGGTCCCAGGGTGGTCTGTCTCCATATTTTATTTGTTGTCATAGAAAGGAACCACAAGGATGGCTCTGTGCGAATTCACGCCTGTCTTCCGTGGCTCAGAGCCAGATGCAATATGAAAAGGGTGAAATAGAAGAGTAGGAGATGGTCAATAGCTGAGTTCCTTGGGTCAGGGGACCTCAATAAATCAGAAACTATATATAGAATTATTTGCTGGGTACTGTGAATACAGAGAGGAAAAAGATTGTCCTGTCATGCCCTCAAAGCCATACGTAAATACTGAGAAGGCATGTATGGTTTTTACACAATAAAGGAATCCCAGAAGTGGTCCCTGTGATGAGCTCTTATAAAGAACAAAGCCTAACTGGGGTAACTGAATCCCATATAGACACCTCGTCCTTTCAGTTCACTGATGAAATGACTTTACTTTTGGGAAATGTCTCCATGAGTTTTGACTTTGAAGTGGAAAAGGCCTTTACCTTATAAAGGGGTTGGGGGTGGCATATGTCCTATGTTTAAGGATCAGTTATCCTGGAAGTTCAGAACAGCCTGCGTCCCACCCACAAAATTCATATGTGCATCCTCTCTGTCTACCTCTTTTTCTGCTCCCACCCTGAAAGTTTAATCATATGTAATATTTGCAGAGGAATTGGCTTTTTCTTCCCATTTACAGGGAAGCACAGAAATTCCTCCAGATAGGCTGAACTGGCTCATGAAAACTTTTGGGTTCATTTAAATTTGCCTAGATCATTAGGTCTAATTTGAAGCAAATAAAGCATCCTTTGCCCAAGTGCCTGTTGGCTTGTTTGTTTTGGTTTCAAAGCCTTAAAACCAGGTATGAAAGTCTTCATGACTCACCTTTGTCTTCTAATGGGATTATTCAAACTTTGCATTACTGATAGCCATGTATTGATATGTATACTGATTTTGGTGAAATCAATAGTTCTTTTTTTTTTTTAAAAAATGCTCTTTGATGTCTATAAAGAAGAGATTTTGAAGTTTTTTTTAAAAATTTTTTTAATTGTCAATGGACCTTTATTTTTATTTATTGATATGTGGTGCTGAGAATCAAACCCAGTGTCACATACATGCTAGGCAAGCACTCTGCCACTGAGCCACAACCCCAGCCCCAAGTCAATAGATCTTAACTCAATAGTTATTAGTCAGCTGGGAGGAATCTTATGATTTCTCAGAGAGCCTTTGGTGCACACAGGCAAAAGGCACATCTCATCATACCAAAGTTAAGTAAGATATTCCACAAGTAAGTCTAGTAATGCTTTCCTTTTGTGACTATCTTTAGTACATTCCAAAAATTGCCACTAAAATATACTAAATCTGAATTTCTCTTGAATTCTACCTGATTTTGACCAGGGTGTGACTGCCAAATCATATTCTCTGAATTTGTAGAAAGCCATGTGTATGTGGGTGGGGGGAGTAATATACATAGCTGTGCCTGATTGAGAAAAGTGACCTTAGTAAGACAACTTTGGTTAGCTTCGGTCAAAAACCCTGGAGGGTTTATGTGTTCCTCCCTTAGATATATCTGCATGTCCACAAGACAGAGTTAGTCTTAGTTTATCCTTGTTATTTATCAGTGAACTTGGGCTTTTGCTTCTGGGATTGCATTGTCGAAATAGGAATGATGATAATAGGCAATAAAGGTTGGAGCCATCCTAACAGATGACAGGAACTGTGGCTGAATGCAAGAGCATACAATTGGTTGAGAAGTCACAAGAATGAACTTGTGAATGAACAGAGCAAAGACTAGTAGTATATTTATTTCTGGGCAATCAGCAAAATATTTGAAGACTGAAACATTATTCTTTTTCTCTGTATTCTTTTTTGAGGATGGTTGTCAGTATGATTTACACTAACTTAAAAATTTAGATTGTTTCTATAGTTTTTTAAAGGAGTTGTCCCCAAAACTAATTCATAAAGTGGCTGCATGGGAATCATCTCACTGTTTGTTAACCATGCAGCTTGCTGAATCTTTACCTTGAACACAGATACAGGTCTGCGGTGCAATATCTGGTATGGCTTCCCAGATGGGCACACCTTTGGGAAAATAGTGAATGTACTTCTTGTTAATAGGCAGAAACACTGGCATAGCTTGTGCTAGGTATCTCTGGTGCTCTATACTATGTTTCTGGAATATAACGGGTAGAATGTACTAACTAGGCCAAAGAGAAGTTCATTAATTATTCAAGCTTATCACATTTAAGCAAGTCACATTTTAAGGAAATTTGTCCCAATCACTCTTTTCTGACATAACCTGCCAAGATTATGCTGAGTCGGTTTGGGGGAAAAGCAATCTCATTCTGTAGTCACAGGTCACAGGGTGCACAAATGGAAAGTAAGAACAAAGCATGGACAGGGACAAAAGAGAAGCCAACCAGTGAGAGGTAGCCTGGCACAATTCTGCTCAATGGAGCATGACCGTCCAAAGCGGGGGCAATTTAGCCATTTCTTTGGAGAAGAATCAGTGTTTGAGGACAGGAGGATATTCTAGCCTAGATTGTCGCCCTAAATTATGCTGAGCTACTTTTTTGGCCTTCTATAAACCCATACCACATTACAATAAACCATCTTATTTTCCTATTGTATAATTAAAAATCAGAGAATGGCCTTCTTTGTGACAGCATTTAAAGCATCTCTTGGGACTAATGCTGTTTCCACAATTTAGTTTGCCAATATTGATTTGAACATATATGTTCATTTATTAGGTTCCCACTTAAAAACTCACCCGATGGATTCACCAGAGACTATGATAATCCTGACCCACATCCTTTAGATTATAATGAGAAGAGTCGATACTTACAGACTGCTCAGTATGTGCCAGAATTATTCTAAGTGTTTTACACATATTCAGAATTTAATTTTAAAAGAAAATTTTGGTGATTATTATCCCCATTTTTTTTTAAGATGAGGAAATCAAGGGACAAAGAAGTTAAACTGTCCAAGATATCATAGCTAGAAAGTGACCGGCATAGTCATGATTTAGCATTTAGGCATGCTTGCCCCAGAGACTGTGTTCTTCACCACAGGGCCAGCTGCCTGTTTGGTATGGAAGGATATTCTGTAATTGTTGATGATTTGCAGTTTTAAAGCACAAAGCATTAATTAAAGAGGAAAGTTGAAACCCAACACAGCAGAAATCATGGTGTGCTGGGAAGAAGACCTGTAAATTACTTAAGAAGGAGTTTGGGAGAGCGTGGGTTTGGCAGCTACTAAGCATTAATTGCTGGGGAAGATTGTCAAAAAGCTGGTCAGAAGGAAGGGATTGGAGGCAAAGGAGGGATGGGCCCTTAAAGACCCACCAGTGTTTCACATCTCTGTCTAAAAACATAGTGTCCCTGGGCTGCACACAAAGCAATCTATCAGCAAGGAATCTTGGCACTCAACATTTACACACATCTTGTAATCTCAATGCGTATACACAGAAAAGCTGTATTACCCTGGTATGAACACCATAGATCAACCAGGAAATCCAACAAGACCTTAAAAAATATTGTTCAGAAGAAAATCTTTGTCAAGCATCAATTTAATTGATAGAATGCTAAAGTAGATGCCATTGCTCAATTCAGAAGTAGATGAAGAATACAAACTCAATGACCATGAAAATATTGCCCCAAATGGAAGGACTTACCATTTCATCACACCAGAAGAGGGTACCTGTTTCAGTTGACAGGGAAGCTCCTTTTAACCCTCCCTCCCTCCTACCTGAAACCATGCCAGTACAATTTTCTCACCGTTGCTGGATAATATTTTTATATCTCTTTCTCCTTTTTGTTTTTTGTCCTTACTCCCCAACTCCCAAATTGGTTCAGAGTTTCACTGACCTAGGAGTAGAACTTAGTAGGTCAGGAACTTAGTAGATTGATTCCATGACAGAATGGAGCTTCTGTAAAACACAAGTTAAAACTAAGATTTAAAGAAAAACAAACTTCTCACATCAAGCAAAGTTGTAGAGGAGGCTGAAAATGAGGGGGAAAAAATTCCTGTTGTGGTAATTCAGATGAAGTCAAGTAGAGATAGGGATGAGTTGTGGAGATGCCAGGGATTTCAGACATGGCTCAACAGGGCTTGGTGAAAGGATAGTAATAGCTATGCTTAGTGAAATCTTTTGAGGATGTGAAACTGGGCATTGAACTCGGGGCCTTGTGCATGCTAGGCAAGTGCCTTATCTCTGAGCTACATCCCCAGCCACAGTGAGTCCTCTTTTAGGGTCAAACACTGCATTTATTATCTCTATTATTCCTTGCAAGGATCTGGTATGGGAGACCCTTGAAAACTATTCCCACATGGAGTCTGCATCAATTTTCCTTTTTAGGAAAGCAGAGAAGATTAATAGGTCATGGCTATTGTGTGTTATTACTAAGCAAGGATCACTAAGATCCACATGTCCTTCTAAAAGATAGGCTGCTTGTCTGCAACAGGGGAACGTGCAGAAGTCCCTGCTTTTTGATTTATAAGTCACAATTGCTGACATTTTTATTATTCACAATTGTGGTTGTTTGAAAAATATGTGCACACAAATTTTGACACTCATCTCTTCAAGAAACAGAGTCTAATTTCTTTTCCTTTTAGTGTGGGCTGGACTTAGTGACCTGATTCTAATGATGAGAAGGCTAGATCATAAAAGGTATCAGGGTTTCCCACTTGAACTTCCCCCACCCCCACCCATCACTTGCTCTGGGGAAGCTCACACCTTGGCATGAGCAGCCTTACAGAAGGGCTCTATGGCTAACAACTGAGCTTTTCTGCTAACCAACAGCCACAAACAAATATGGTAGATCATAGGGATACCAGCTCAGGTAAGGTCCCACCACTTCATCACAGGAGAAAGACCCCTCTCCAGAGTGTGTCTGTTGGTATCTTT